CTGGGAGTCCCACGGGGGCGAGAGCTGGGGGGCAGCGGGGATGTGGCACCTGGGTCCCTCCGGGGGTGGAGCAGCCCAAGAAGGACCAAAAGGCTGGGGCTGGAGGGGAGTGAGTGGCACAGCGGGTGGGGATTGGGGTGCCACGGGCACAGCCAGGGGCAGTGCCAGGGCGGGTGGGGGGCTCTAAGCTGCCGGGCCCCCCTGTGCTGCAGGTCTGGTTCAACAACAAGGGCTGGCATGCCATGGTCTCCTTCCTCAATGTGGCCAGCAACGGGCTGCTGCGTGCCCGGCTGCCCCCCGGCACCGACCCCACGCGCTTCGGCATCACGGCCACCAACCACCCCCTCAACCTCACCAAGGAGCAGCTCTCCGAGGCCGCCCTGTGAGTGCCAGGGATGGGGGTCCCGCAGACCCTCTGGCCCCCGCTGAGCCCTCCCCTCCATGGCAGGATGGCCACCTCCGTGGACGTGCTGGTCTCCATCTGCGTGATCTTCGCCATGTCCTTCGTCCCGGCCAGCTTCGTCGTCTTCCTCATCGAGGAGCGGGTCAGCAAGGCCAAGCACCTGCAGTTTGTCAGCGGGATGAAGCCCCTCACCTACTGGCTGGGCAACTTCGCCTGGGACATGGTGAGGATGGGGATGGGGACAGGGTCCAGTTCCTGGGGGAGCAGGTCCCACCCCTGACCTTTTCCCGGCTTCTCTATCCCCCCAGTGCAACTACCTGGTTCCCGCGCTGCTGGTCATCCTCATCTTCCTCTGCTTCCAGCAGAAATCCTACGTGTCCTCGGACAACCTGCCCTCCCTGGTGCTGCTGCTGCTGCTCTACGGGTGATGGGGCAGCAGAGCCCAGCGGGGGCAAGGGGGGCACGGGGGGCTCTGAGTGGGGCTGGGGGCAGCTGGGGTGAGGGGGATTGTGGTGCTGGAGGGTGGGGAGTGTTTCTTGTCCCCCAGGATGGGGGGGTGCATCTCAGCCAGCCCCTGCCTTTCTCCCTTGTAGCTGGTCCATCACCCCCCTGATGTACCCAGCCTCCTTCCTCTTCAGCATCCCCAGCACTGCCTACGTGGCCCTGACCTGCATCAACCTCTTCATTGGCATCAATGGCAGCGTGGCCACCTTCGTGCTGGAGCTCTTTGTGGACCAGGTGAGCCTTGGGATGCCCTGGATCCCCTGTCCCACCCCCGTGGGGCCAGTGCCAGCTGACTCACCCCCCTCTTTGCTGCCCTGGCAGAACCTCAATGACATCAACCGTGTCCTGAAGAAGGTTTTCCTCATCTTTCCCCACTTCTGCCTGGGCCGAGGCCTCATCGACATGGTGAAGAACCAGGCGATGGCCGATGCCTTCGAGAGGTTTGGTGAGTCAGGGGGTGTCAGGGCTGCTCCCCCTCCCCAAAGCCTGGCCAGCTCGGGGGTCCACCCCTCCTACAGCCCCTCTCGTGCTCACAGGGGACAGGCGCTTCGTGTCCCCCCTCTCCTGGGACCTGGCGGGGAAGAACATGTTCGCCATGGCCGTCGAGGGCATCATCTTCTTCCTCTTCACCCTCCTGCTGCAGTACCGCTTCTTCCTGCGGCTGGGGTGAGCCCCGGCCGGGGGGTGCCTGGGGGGTTCCTGCGGATGGGCAGCCCTGGATGTGCCCCTGCCACTGTTCCCCCAGGCCACGGGCTCCGGAGCTGCCCTCGCTGGGGGACGAGGACTGGGACGTGGCCAGGGAGCGGGCGAGGGTGGGCAGCAGCCCCCCCCAGGGCCACCTCCTGCTGCTGAAGGACCTGACCAAGGTGGGTGTGTAGGGCTGGACCCCCCTGCAGCCCCCGACCCCCCGTGAGGGATGGGAGCACCCAGCGCTGCCTCTCCCCGCTCAGGTGTACCGGCGCAGGAAGGCTCCGGCCGTGGACCGGCTCTGCGTGGCCATCCCCCCCGGGGAGGTGAGGGACAGACGGACGGATGGACGGCACCGTGGGCAGGGCCGGGGCTGCTGGTGACCCTGCTCTGTCCCCACAGTGCTTTGGCCTCCTGGGGGTGAACGGCGCTGGGAAGACATCGACCTTCAAGATGCTGACGGGGGACACGGAGGTGACGCTGGGGGAGGCCTGGCTGAAGGGGCACAGGTGGTGAACGCAGAGGCCCCACGGCTGCTCCCCCTCTCTCTGTCCCCACAGCACCTGTGCCATCATCCCCATCCTGTGCTCCTTCTGGTCCTCATCCTTGTGGTGTGCTTGTGCTCACCTTCATCCTCATCCTCATCCTCATCCCTGCAGCTGCTCGTCCCTATTCCTGCAGTGTCCCTGCAGTGTCCCCCGCAACATGCTCATCTGTCCCTGTCCCACGCTTACCTGTCCCCATCCCCAGAGTGTGCTGACCTGTCCCTGTCCCACAGTGTGCTCACCGACCTCCAGTCTGTCCACCAGCACATGGGTTACTGTCCCCAGTTCGATGCCATCACAGACCTGCTGACAGGGCGGGAGCACCTGGAGTTCTACAGTCGCCTGCGTGGGGTCCCAGAGGAGGAGACCCCCAGGGTAGGGCCCTCATCCCAGCTCCCCCAGCCCAGAAGATCCTCACCCTCACCCCCTCACCCCTTCTGTCTCTCGCAGGTGGCTCAGTGGGGCATCACCGCGCTGGGGCTGGGGCCGCACGCGGACCGGCCCGCGGGCAAGTACAGCGGGGGCAACAAACGCAAGCTCTCCACGGCCATCGCCCTCCTCGGCTGCCCCCCCGTCGTCTTCCTGGTGAGGGGGGCAGCGGGGGGTCCCACAGCAGCACTGGGGTCCTGCCTGGGCTGACCCTGAGCCGGGGCCGTTGCAGGATGAGCCCACGACAGGGATGGACCCGCAAGCCCGGCGGTTCCTGTGGGAACGCATCCTGGGCGTCATCCGGGACGGCCGGTCCGTGGTGCTCACGTCCCACAGGTGATCCCCCACCCGGGGTCTGCAGCCCCCACAGTGGGGAGCAACCCCTGTGCCCCCGGGAGTCCCTCAGAGGGGAGCTCCCCTCTGCCCCGGGGGTCTCACTCGTGCCCCCCAGCATGGAGGAGTGCGAGGCTCTCTGCACCAGGATGGCCATCATGGTCAACGGCCGGTTCCGCTGCCTGGGCAGTGTCCAGCACCTCAAGAACAGGTACTGGGGTGGGGAGCTCGGGGGGCTCCTTGGGGCGGGGGCTGTGGCCAGTCCCCGCAGTGGTGTCCCCTCTGCCCGCAGGTTTGGGGACGGGTACACGGTGGTGGTGCGGGCGGGCGGCCCCGGCCCGGCGGCCGTGCAGGCCCTGCTGCAGCGTCACTTCCCCGCCATCGTGCTGCGGGAGCGGCATGGGGGGCTGCTGCGGTACCACCTGCCCGCCCGCGCCGCCTCCCTGGCCGCCGTCTTCAGCCTCCTGGCCGCCCACCGCGGCCCCTGCCACATCGAGGACTACTCCGTGTCCCAGACCACCCTCGACCAGGTGACGGGGCACGCAGGTGTGGGGCTGTGGCTGGGGGTCCCGTGGCACTGTCTCTCACCCCGCCATCCCCGCAGGTCTTCGTGCACTTTGCCCAGGAGCAGAGCGACGGGGACCCCGGGGAGGCCGCGGCACCAGGGCAGGATGTGGCCCCCAGCCCTGGGAGGAGGCTGAGCACGTTCCTGGAGGATGAGAGCTACCAGGAGAGCGCTGTCTGAGCGGGGAGTGGTGCCCCAGGGACCCTCACAGACCACTCCCCAGTCGTCACCGCAGCACGACCTGGGGTCACAGGGCTTCGGGGCACCCCAGACCCCCGGAGCTGCACACGGGAGGCCTGGGCACATCCTGCCCACTGGCTTGGTTTCACCATCCCATGGGACAGTGGGTGCTGGGGAGTGTCAGAGCATCAGGGCAGGGCTGGCCCCAGATCCCTGTGGCTTGGTGCCCTGTGGGGAAGTCGATCTGGATGGGGGGTCTGAGGCTGGCCCTGGGACCCCCGCTGTCCCCGGGACCCCCACTGCTCCCCACCGGAGCCGAGCTTGCTGTAACCGAGCAATTCAATAAAGACCCGCGGTACTGATGGGGGGCCTGATCGCCCTCACCACGACACGACCCCACCGGGGGACAGGGGGCACAGTGGGACAGGGGCACAGTGGGACAGGGCAGCAGTGTGGCCCCGGCACAGTTGGACACACAGACCTGCAGGGCCGCGCCTGGGGCTCCCCCCGACCTGGAGGTGGGCACTGGTGCCCCCCGAGCCGCACCTCGGGGGTCCAAAAGGGTCCTCCCGGGGGGGCTTTGTGACCCTCCCGAGGGGAAAAAAAATATGGAACGCTTCACGAATTTGCGTGTCATCCTTGCGCAGGGGCCATGCTAATCTTCTCTGTATCGTTCCAATTTTAGTATATGTGCTGCCGAAGCGAGCACGAATTTTGAGTGAGCAGGAGCCATACTTAAACCCCTCCCAACTAAAGATTTTTAAGTCATGGCGAGTAGCTCCTCAGACTCCCCCGCCTTTCTCTACCTGGTCACCCTCCCAGGCGATGCACGTCGGATTTTTACTTTAAATCTTCCATTTTATGAGGTTATTTTTTGCCTTTCTGAGGACGAGTTTAAGCGCGGAGCGACAGGCCTCGCGCGGAGCATGGTGGGAATGCTTTTAATTTGCGTATGAGGGCGTGGCGTGGCTGGCGCGTGTCCTCCACCGTCCCGTCGTGCCCCAGGCGCGCGCGCGCATGCGCGGAGCCGCCGTTGCCGGCGGGGGAAGATGGCGGCGGAGCGCTGAGGGACGGGACGGGAGAGGTGGAACCGACCCGACCCGCCAGCCGCGCCAGCGACTCCCATGGCCCGGGGCCGGCCCGGCAGCCGCGTCCCCGCTGCGCCTGCTCGGGCCGCCACAGCGCCCGGGCCCCGCTGAGCGCCCAGGCCTGACTCGCGGGGCCTGACCCATCGCCACCCCGAGGCGTCTGCGCCGGGCCGGGGCCGGGGAACCGGGACAGAGACGGCGGCCGCCCGGGCCCAGGCGCCCCGCCGAGCAGCAGCGGCCGCTCTGGGCCCGGCCCAGCCGCCAGGATGTCCGACAACCAGCCGAACGCCAACAACCACCACCCGGCCAACAACACCGGGGCCGCCGGCGGCAACAACCGGGGCGTCCGCAACCCCAACCTCAACCAGAACCCCCTGATCAACGTGCGCGACCGCCTCTTCCACGCGCTGTTCTTCAAGATGGCAGTGACCTACGCGCGCCTCTTCCCGCCCTCCTTCCGCCGCGTCTTCGAGTTCTTCGTCCTCCTCAAGGTGAGGGGCAGCTCCTCCTGCCAGGCGCAGCCGGGCTGAGGGCAGGGATTTCCTTAGGAACAAAAAGTTGTGGCTCTGCCGGAGGTCACAGCCTGTGTTTGGGCCGCACACACCAAGCTGTCCCCAGAGCTCCCGTGGGCCTCTCCTGTGTGGGAGACACGAGGAGTTCCTGCACTCCGGGGCTCTGGTTCCAGGTCCACAAATCCAAAGGAAATCCCTGAGCCAGCTCACTGGGCAGCCAGGCTGGTGCAGGGCATGTCCTGGGCTCTGGGCTGGAGAGGATTCGGTTTCTGTTTCCAGGAAATCACACTTTGGATGCATTGCACACATGACATACTGGATTGTTGGAGTCTTGTCTTTTCTGGAAGCAGTTAAGGCACAGCCCTGTTCTAACCCTGCTTTTTCAGCAGTGCCAGTGCAGCACAGCTCTGCCCCGGGGTGAACCCTTCTGCCTGCTGGGGCCCCCCAGGGCGGCCTGCCTGTCAGTGTGCAGGGGTGAGCTGCCAGTAGGTTAAATCCTGCTCCATGGCTTCCAGGATGAGAAATGAGAGTAAGAAGGAGAGAGCAGCTTACCGGGCCACCCTCCTGCTCTGGGTTTTTACAATTCAGCGAGAAAACGTTCAGCACAACTTGTCTCATACTGCACAGATACTTTTTCTACCCTCCCAAGAAACGTTATGGATTTTCACATCCCTGTTCTGTGTCCCAGTTGTCCGGCTGGATCCCAGCAGACAGGCTGGGACAGGGGTGGTGCTCAAGGTATGGCTGTTGGGCAGAGCAGCTGGGAGCTGTTCATGCTGCTTCTGCCTCTGATCACTGCCATCCTAGAGAATGAAAAGCATTCCCAGAGCCCTGCAGGGTCAGGGCCCAGCAGCCTCCAGCCTGCTCCCAGCTCCGCTCTGGCTGCTGGGCACAGGGAAGCAGAGCCTGTCCAGAGCTCCTGCAACCAGGGAGGTGGCTCTGATTTACCTTCCCTCACATCCCTCGTGCAGCTGCTCTGTAGAGAGATGTTTACCAGCCTGTTTGTTCATCACAAATAGGTCAGGACAGCTGGGCTGATGAGGAGGGAGCAGCTCGGGGTGGGTGGAAGGGAGGTCTGAGCTCAGCGGTGCCGCTCGCTGTGCCAGCCGTGCTCGGAGCTCTGAACTTTGGATGTCATGCACAGTTACTGTCTGTGCTTTAGGGAGCGGGTTTTATTAGTGCAGTGTGCTTTGCTGTGGTTTATAGCTGTTCCTGGGGTTGAGGCAGGGCAGGAGCCCTTTGGCCACCCTGGGGCAGGGCCTGTTCCTTGCAGCGACAGGTCTGCCGTGGGTTTGGGTCGTCCTGCCCTCAGAGGGGTTGGCTTTGGGAGAGGTTTGCTTTATTCTGCCTTTGGAAGGCTGGGCAGTCTTCTCTGGGCTTCAGCAGGAAACTCTTTGTGCTGAGGAGGGAAGGGTTGGAAGCCATGGATGCATTTCCATTCCTTTCAACGTGTCTTGTAGCCTCGTTCCATGTTAGTGCTGTGTGTGGTTCAGTTTGGGGAAGGTGTTGGTTGCAGGACCTGTGCTTCCAGCAGGGTACCTGAGCTGCACAGGGGTCGAGGGCAGCCCTGGTCTCATGAACAGGAGCTGCCTTTGGTGTGTTCCTTGCTCAAACTGCCAGGGTCTGGCTCCTGCCTTGTTGATGCAGGGAAGCACTGAAGCTCTTGTCCACTTGCCAAATCCACTTGTCCAAGTTTTTCTAGTGTTTTATGGGCAAAGAGGAGCTGGTGGTAACTGGGAAGACTGTACTCAGGCCGAGGGTGGCCAGGCTGACGGTCTGTGCCTTGTCTCCTGCCCTGCAGGCTCTCTTTGTGCTCTTCATCCTGGCCTACATCCACATCGCCTTCTCCCGCTCGCCCATCAACTGCCTGGAGCACGTGCGGGACAAGTGGCCCCGGGACGGGATCCTGCGGGTGGAGATCCAGCGCAACTCCAGCCGGGCCCCCATCTTCCTGCAGTTCTGCGGCGGCGAGAAGTTCCCGGGAGTGGTGGTTGAGTCCACGGCTGAGGAGGAGGAGGAAGAAGAGGAAGAAATGACTGTGGATATGTTTGAAAACAGCTCTATCAAGGTTAGGGATGTGCTCCCTGAGTGGGTCAGAGAGGGAGACCTGGGTGATGGGCTGGGGAGAAATGGTTGGTTGTAAGTGTGTGATCCCTCAGTCTCCTGGAAGTACAGTGGGTTCCTTGGCTGCTCCTGAATTCCCATGTTGGCCTCTGATGGTTTAACACAGGAAGCAAGAAAGTGGCCTGAGAAAGTGGCCTCTCCCACCACAGGGGTGGTGGAGGCCTTTGCAGGGACAGAGGGAGCATGGCAGGTGGGAGGTGAAGAGCCTGCTGATGTGACTTTCCCTGCCCTGGTTTTCCAACAGTTTGAGCTGGATATCGAGCCTAAGGTGTTCCTCAAGCCGTCCCGGGTGAGCAGCACTGAGCTGCCCCACAACGACAGCCAGGAGTTCTCGTTTAGTGACACAGCCACTAAAGGTATGCAGCCTCTGCGGGAGACTGTGTCCGAGTTTGAGATGCTAACCCGAGCAGGTAATCACACCTTCACTGCTACCTGTGCTCCTCCCTCCTCCCCCCGTCATCCTCCCCGCACGTCCCGTCCTGGCTCCTCGGGGCGCCCGCACAGTGACCTTAAATGTCTTCCCAATGTGTTCACCTGGGGTTGGTCCTGTCAGTACTAACAGCAGACCCACAGCGAGCTCTGCCCCGGGGCTGGGGGGTGTCAGGGGAGGCCAGGGGTTGGGGGGAGGCTGGGCCAGAAGCGTTGCCAGACCAAGAGGCTTCAGGTGAAGCACAGGTGAGCGAGGGCTCCTGGTCTGGCAGTGCGTTCCTGCGGTGATTGGTGTCAGGTATCTCAGCCTGAACCCCCTGTGAGCCGCAGGGATCCCCTGGCAGCGACACTCCTGCTCACATGAGCAGGGTTTGGGCTGTGTTCTGGGTCCGGAGCCAGCAGCAGCACTTGGAGCAGCCAATTTGCTCCAATTAATGAATCTCAAAAGCCGCCGGGCGGGTTCCGTGGGTTGCGATACCACCCGGCCTCGTCCCGCCCTGTTCCTGCCTGGCCTGAGCTGCTCAGGCCTCGTAAACTCCAGAGGGGGATTTAGTGCCTTTGTGTTATTTAAAATGGAATTCCAGTGTGGAAAACTTGTGTCTCTAGTGGTTAAGGGAGGAAATCTACTGAGGAATATTTATGTTAAAATAGAGACGTGGAATTGGATTCTTTGCCTTTTTCCACAAAATTTGCAAAAAGTTGCCTCTTTCACTCACACTATTGTCCCTGGAAAGGCTGGAACTCTTTGCTCTGCAGACATACTGGGGTTGTGTCTGTGGAGGAAGGGGAGACCAGACACTGCTCTGTTCCTTGGTCTTGCAGTGGATTTGCTTGATGCTGATCCAGAGCTCATTAGTCCTGAATTAAAGATCATTAAGACCAGAGAGCAGTAAATGTTTTTGGTGCAGGACCTTTATTGCCCAGGTTCTGAGGAGAGTCACGTTGTGCAGAGCTGTGGCACTGGTGGGGTAACTCTTGGTTTGCTGAACGTGTGGCTGGAAATGATCCAGAAAAGGGCAGGGAGAGAATCAGGCTGTTTCCCAGATGAGTTACAAAATTCATCTCTTCAAACTGGTCCCAAATACCTGAGTTTATTGTTTTTTGCCAGATTTCCTGTGCTCTAAGTGAGCAAAATTTGCTGTTTAGTCCAAATGTTTTTGCCATGGAAAAATATTTTATGAGACAAAGGAAGTAATTGTTGATATTTAAACCCTTGACTTCCTTTTGAGCTTAAAACTGTTTATAATGGAAACAAAAGACAAAACCGACAGCCCAGCCTGTGTTTGCTGCCTGAGAAGGGGATCAGGGGCTGCATCTCTGTCAGTGCTGTGTCAGGTGTGTCTCTGTTAAGTTCTCGTCACTTTAATTGTCACTGTGGTGCTGGGAGCTGCCTGACAGCTGCCTCCCCCCTCCTGGAGATACACCCTGACAGTCTGAAAGAGCAGGGATTAAATTGCTTGGCTCCAGCTTAGCAGGAGGTTTTGTCCTTTCAGAGATGATGTAGCAAAAAGCATCTGTTTGGAACCTTTCTTGGAAAAAAAAAAAAAAAAACCAGGGAAACTTCAGGCACCACCGGTTTTTGGGAGAGCTGTAATTGCTGCTGCCTTCTGTTCTGATGTGTAATTGCAGCAGTGACCTCAGTCCCCAGGAAGTGCAGGGCTCTTGCCTGTGGAGCATTTACCCGGTGTTCAGCAGGTGCAAAGTGGATTTTCCTGCTGTTTCCCAAACAACATGGGAAGCAGAAATTGAAAAGAGCAAGAACAAGTGGTTCTGGGCTTGCCAGGCACAGATGTGGGCAGGTTCTGGGCAGAGCTTGGAAGTGCTGCCCTGAAGCTTTCCCAGAAGCCTCACATTAAGGACTAAGGTCAGGGGAATGGGCTGCAATTCCGAAGAGTTTGAACTGATTTATGTTTAAGTGGTTGAGGGAAGCCTGGAGCCCATGTTTGCAGCTGGTTCCCTTTTCAAGAATGTGATGGGAGGGAGGGAACGAACCCGGAGGGGCTGTTTCTTCGTGGTGGTTGTTTGCAGATCCAGGTGCTGAGCCTCCCTGTGTCCCTCCCTGTGTCCCTCCCGTCCCTCTCCAGTGTGGCCGCAGGAGGAGTACATTGTGGAGTACTCGCTGGAATACGGCTTCCTGCGCCTGTCCCAGAGCACACGGCAGCGCCTCAGCATCCCAGTCATGGTGGTGACCCTGGGTGAGTGGGGAGGCAGCCTGGGCAGGGGCAGGGGGGGGCAGGGGTGGGGACCTGCTGTGCAGAGACCTCAACGCCGTCTCTGGGAACTCTTTATGAAGTGCACTCACTTCCCACGCAGGAGAGCTGCTGTGTGCAGCCCGTCTCCCTTTAGTAGGTCACAGCTTTCCAGGAGGAGCACTCTGAAATGGTGGAGCCTGGTTCAGTGAGCCCTGATGTCATGCCCAGCACAGTTGTTTCCCATGGAGAAGGGAAGAGCCCTCTCCCTGACTGAAGGCACTGAAGCTCTGGGCTCAGTGGGAGCAGCAGCAGTGCAGGGTTAGAGCCCAATGGTGAGGGCAGCTGTGCAGGTGTTGGGGACGGTGCTCACAGGTCTGTGTCACACTCTGGGGCACACTGTGTCTCCTGTGCCCCTGGGAGCACCAGCAGATCGTTTCCCTGGAACAGTGCTCTCTTCTCCTGACATTTGCTCTGTTAAAACCTGTCCAAGTCAGGAATATAGTCTCAGACCTTCTCGTGCACTGTTAGTGCCGTGATCAGACTGAACCTTGTTACTTCCTCCCAGTCAAGCTGAAGCACAACTGGACGGGGGTTTAGGTGATTTTCCTGTGCAGTGATGGGCAGATGGGGTGAGCCAAATTCCGTTTGTGTCTGTGCCAGCCCTGACATTCCTGAAGGCCCATTAGCACTTTGACAGCGTGGCTGGATCTGTCAGGGGTGACATCTTCCCTCCCAGACCTGCCCAGTTCGGTTTTACTGCCCCAGGCCCACGTGCTGGCCCAGGCCCAGCTCTGCTGGCACACGTGTCCCTCGGGGTGATGGGACGTGTGCTCACTTTGTGCCTCTGGGGCTGCGGGTGTGAACAGTCTGAGCAGGTTTTTGTGTTCTCCCTAGACCCTACGAGGGATCAGTGCTTTGGGGACAGGTTCAGCCGCCTGCTGCTGGACGAGTTCCTGGGCTATGATGACATCCTGATGTCAAGTGTCAAAGCTTTAGCTGAAAACGAGGAAAACAAAGGTAAGGCCTGGAGGAGTGACAGCGGCTGCGTGGAGCGGTGGGTGTTTGTTCTGTGCGTGCCTGAATATCATCTTCTGACTATTGATTAATCTGTAACGCAGGGAGCAGCTCCCTGTGTTATTGTCAAGGACAAAATGAGAGAGGCAGGAGGGGAGAGGTGTCTGGAAACCTGATTTCCTCCCTCCTCACTGCCCTGCATGACAATGAGTGCTGCCCTGAGGATTTGCTCCAAATCCTGTTTCTTTAGCAGGCAGTGATGGTTGGTCCTTAGCCTGTGTGTTGATCATACTGAGCCGGTGTTTGTGCTTTTTCTCCAGGTTTCCTTCGCAATGTGGTGTCTGGGGAGCACTATCGCTTCGTCAGCATGTGGATGGCCAGGACGTCCTACCTGGCAGCCTTTGTCATCATGGTCATCTTTGTAAGTCGGCGGGAGCTGGGCAGTGCCTGGACTCAGCCAGGGCTGGGCAGCATGTGGGTGGTGTAACAGCACAGGCCTGAGCTCTCATCCTCTTTTAAAGTCTGGTTGGTGGAGGATGAAGCCCTACCCTGGGACTTTTGTTCTAAGTGTCCTGCACGACGTTTGTCCTCTGAGACTTTTAAGAACAGACTGATTTGCCAGGAGCGATCAAGATAAACCAAGAGATGATGTGTGAGATGAGGCCATCTCAAGATACACATCAGACAAGATCCTGAACGATAACTATGCTGTGTTTGTAGTCTTGGGTGCCTGTGGGACTCTCCCCTTGTGTCTGGCTGTCCCAGCCACTGAGGCAGCTCTGTGCACAGTCACACTGTGGGCAGTGAGGAGGAACCAAGTGCAGAGAGGTGCTGGGAGCTGCGGCAGGAGCGGGATGGAGGACGGGAGATTCCCTGCTCCCAGCTCTGTGGGTTGGCTTGGCCCCCGCTCAAATATTCAGGATCGGTCCCTTTACAAACAAATCCCTTACTGTCTGTTCCCCTGCAGCAGCACAGAGATTAATTGCCGTTTGTAGAGCCCTAATTACTCTTTGGCAAATTGCTCTGCACAGCTCCAGCTAACGAATGTGGGATGTGCAAGCCCAGGCTCGCCCGGGCCTCTGCCGCAGTGCGATTCCGAGTGACTCCCCACACCCGTGGGGCTCTAACCTGCCTCCCCTTCTCTCTCCTGTTTCAGACTCTGTCTGTCTCGATGCTGTTGCGCTACTCACACCATCAGATCTTTGTCTTCATTGGTAAGGACTGGCTGAGGGGTTTGGGTTGTGCTGGGCACTGTACCTGCTCCAGCACAGTGTGTCGTAGAGTCACAGCAGGTTTGGGTTGGAAGGACCTTGAGGATCGTCTTGTTCCAACCTTGATTTTTGTTGTTTAGAAGGGTCCTACTTTTATCTGCACAGGGAATCCATCCCCCTGTACCCTGTCACCGCGCTCGCCAGAGCTATTCTGTCTCCTGACAAGTGCTGGGCACAGAGGATTTGGGATGATGGACTTGGCTGCACTGAGTGGGCAGTACCATGGGGTGGAGAGTTCCTTGGCCCCACATCCTCTCTGTGCCACACTGTGTTTTCCCTCTTGCAGTTGACCTGTTACAGATGCTGGAGATGAACATGACCATTGCGTTCCCTGCGGCTCCGCTCCTCACTGTCATCCTGGCTCTGGTTGGTAAGGACTTGCCTCACTGCTTGTATCTGCAGCACATCCCTCTGGGATCTGTGGGAAGTCTGATTCCCTGTTCCGAGCTGGCCGCGGCAGGTGGTTAGTGCGGCTGCTCATCACAAGGCAGAAGGCTTTGCAATTTGATGGCACAGTGAGCTCCATTGTCCTTCTGGGTCCCCTGGAAAAGCAGCAGTTCATTGGGAAATCCCAGAATCCGAAGCTTTGTCTGTCCCTGGAGCTCGTTGCAGACTTACGTTCTGTAGCCAGATTGCATTTGCACAGTTTGAATTTAAAAAGCAACAAACCCCCTGAAATGTGTGCTGGGGGAGGCAGCTGGTCCCTGCCATCAGCGCTGGAACAGTTACCTGCCCTGGGCAGGTGCAGTCACAGCCTGGCCCTGGGGTGGCAGAGGGCCCCTTCCCGTGCCCTGCCTGTGCTGATGTCCCCTCTGTCCGCAGGCATGGAGGCCATAATGTCCGAGTTCTTCAATGACACCACGACCGCGTTCTACATCATCCTCATCGTGTGGCTGGCGGACCAGTACGACGCAATCTGCTGCCACACCAACACCAGCAAGAGACACTGGCTCAGGTAAGGTCTCTCATTCCCTCTCCCTGTCCTTCTTCAGCTGCTCCAGGGCCTTCCCAGCCCCTCCAGGCATGACAGCCTCCACTCCTGAGGGTGTCTGTGTGGCTCCTTGGGAGCTGCTCCACATGGCACAGGGTCCAAAGTGCGATTGCTCCGCTTTGGATTTGTGCCTGGATCTCAGAATCACCTCGACCTTTTCCTGCCCCTTGTTTTGCCCCATTCATAGCCAGGCAACTCTGATTACCTATTAACGAGTCTGCACTGCCCCAGACCAAGTGCCCGGGCTCAGGCTGGGCTTGGGAGTAGAACAGAGCTCATATTTTTCCTGATTTTCCTTGCCTTCCTGTCTAGGTTTTTCTATCTGTACCACTTTGCCTTCTACGCCTACCACTACCGCTTCAACGGGCAGTACAGCAGCCTGGCACTGGTCACCTCCTGGCTCTTCATCCAGGTGAGTCCCTGCACAGCTGCTGCACCTGGGGGGGTTTTGCCAGACTTCTTCTCAAGCTGGGTCGGAGTAGGAATCCTTTTTTCTGTAAGAGATGGAACTAAGCCTGGTTTGGAAATGGAACAGCAGAAGGCAGCTGTGGAACAGGGGAACCTTTGAATCACTGTCTGCAGTCCAGTCACGGGCATGACAATAACCCGATGCCACACAGGTTCTGGGAAGGCTTTCTGTCCTCTCCTTCTGCAATAAATCCTGATGAGGGTCTGTCTTGCAGAGGAACAGCTCAGGTCCATGCAGCGAGGATGCTGGCAGGACCAGCTCCGAGGTGATATCTCCAATATCCTGGATCAGTTAAACCTGTTGAGTGTCTCTGGCTGTTGACCTGCTGCAGGGTGGGGGCAGGGAGTGGAGCACTGCCCAGAGGAATGCCATTATCCTTCTTTTCCCAGCCCTTAAAAGGGAAGAGGGGTTGTACTCTGTTGCCTGTCTTCAGAGAGAAACTATAAAGCAGCTTGCAGCAGTCAAAAGTCCAAACTTTGTGCTAACCTGCTGGCTGTCAGAGCAGCTGGATTCTCCAGGAGAAGTGCAGTTTTCTTGGGATGTGGTAGCTTGTGGCCCAGGCCCAGGGGTGACTCCTTTCCCTCTCTTCCTCCAGCACTCAATGATTTACTTCTTCCACCACTACGAGCTGCCAGCCATCCTGCAGCAGATCCGGATCCAGGAGATGCTGCTGCAGAACCAGCAGGTCGGGCAGGGCACCCAGACCACGCTGCAGGACAACCTCAACAACAACACCACGGCCGCCCCCGTCGAGGCGGGGGGTCGCCGAGCCCCCCTGGCCACCGGGCCCCCCGGGGAGGGCAGCGGCCCGGCCGCCCTGACCCCCGGCGAGGCCTCGAGCGTCATCGCCGCCGCCGCCTCCGTGGGCAGCGACCTGAACTGGGTGGCCGAGACGGCCGCTATCGTGACAGAGGCCTCGTTCCTGTCCGACCTGAGCACGACCCTCCTGGAGCCCACCGTGGTGCACGAAGCCGTGGCCAACGGGACCCCTCAGGAGGCGGCCACGGCCTCTGGTTTGGTCGCCCGCATCAGGGTCAGCAGTGACCGCCCGGAGACGGCCGTGGGCTCCATCACCATCGAGGTCACCTCGACGTCCGTGGTGGCCGCAGCAGATGCTCCCCCTGCTGCGGGGGCTGCGCCCCTCGTCCCGCTGCAGGAAGGGGGGGCCCCTCTCCTCAGCCCCTCCCTTCCCAAGCAGACTGAGGCTCTCGAGGGCTCAGACAGCCGAGCAAAACCCGGTGGCAAGAACTGTGTGGGCAGCAGCAGCAGCAGCGTGGCAGAGCCCCCTCCAGCCTCAGGGGGGGACAATGACCAGGACAGAGGTTTGGAGGACCGGGGGGAGAGCAGCCCCTGCCCAGCACCAGCGGAGAGAATGCCCAGCTCAGAGCCAGGCTCCAGGAACCTGTCCTGAGCCCCGTTGGGTCGCTCTGGACTGCCGGGAAGGCATTTGGATTTCGTTTGTTACTATTTCTCACTTCACCATCATCCTTAACCCATGGATCCCTCTGAGCGGAGCCGGAGCAGCAGGAGCAGAGCAGGGCTGTGGTGACCTCCCTTCCCTGGGAGAGGCACAAGGGGCTGTGGGGAGGTTGGGGGGTTTGGTCCCCTGGCCCACACAGCTCCAGGGCTCCTCCGAGGCCACATGTGAGCCTGCTCCTGCCCCATGTCAGCTTGTGCCCCAGCTTTTCCTTGCCCCCCAACCTGGGCTTCACCCCCGCAGCCGTGTTTGCAGTCCAGGTGTGGATCCCAGCTCTCAGGTGGGAGCTGACCTGGGACAGGCCACAGCACGTGGCAGCTCTGTGGTGAGAGTAGGAGCTGACAGAGCAGGCAGAGCGTGTCCAGCCCCCATGGGAGAGCCACAGAGAGGAGAGTCCTGGTCACCTTTCCTGCTCCTGAGGGGAGGAGCAGCTGAGACCTTCTGTGGGTGTGAGTTCTGCACACGGCTGGGCAACAACCAAAGCAGAAGCTGCAATTCAGTTCCTTTTTTTCTGCCCTTGAATTTCCCTCAGTGGGTGGGGTGGGGTGTGGAAGGTGCCGTGTCCAGGGGGGAGCTGCCATCTCAGGAGCCATGAGTGATGCCTGGAGGGAGCTGTGCTGCAGTGTGGGTGTCTGTGGAGAGGTGTGGGGCAAGAGCAGCAGCTCTGTCCTGCACAGCTCTGTCCTGCACAGCTCTGTCCTGCACAGCTCTGCTCTGGGTGAGGCAGCTGCTTTCCAGTGCCTTGTCCCTCCCGTGGACCACATCTGCATTTAGGATCAGCCCCATCCCAGACGAGAGAGCAGCTTCTCACCCCTGGACTCTTGCATGAGCTGGTTTAGCAAAGAACCAAAACACTAAAGCCAAGACATTTCAGCTGATTTTCCCCTGTTTCCCTGCAGTGGAGGTGAGGCTGGTGGGTCCCAACCCCTGTGCCATGGAGCTGAGCTGGGGGGCTGCATCAAGACCTCTGTGGAGGGGTCGGACCCAGCAGGATGTGCTGGAAGGAGGGTTTGTGCACGGGGTGGAGCAGGGCGAGGCAGGATGAAGCTCTGGGAGAACCATGGTGGGACAGGGCAGGGGCAGGTGACACGTGGGCACTTGTCTCTTGGGGACAGCTGGGTCCCTGTACAGGTGTCCCCAAATTCAGGGCTGTCTCCCTATGGCAAAGCAGCATCTTCTGTCTCCCTCGGAGGGCTCGGTGCGTTTCAATGTTTCCTTGTCAGCGCGGGGGGCTCAGAGCTCCCTGTTCACCCCTCTGCTTTTCCCACCTGGGTGCCCCCACTTTGTTTTTCCCTTTTGCCTGGAGCAGCCCTGGTGCTGCACCGGAGCTGGGGGGACCCTGCTGTGACCAGCAGGTCCAATCCTGCTGCTGCCAGCACTGCTGGGAAGGGGCCTCGTGGCCAACTGAGCCCAGCCTCTGGAGTGCCAGGAATGACTGTAGGCTTTTCAGAGGAGTGGGTGGGTGGGAGGGGAAGGGGGGACACCAAACCAAATGATTTGATGAATGAAAAGTAGAGTTCATTCTATTTAATTAATGTACAAAATGTGTTTGTATATAATAATAAATATTATCTCTAACAGCTCCTGCAGCTCTGCCCCACGTCCTGTCCCGTGTCCTGGGCTCCCGACGGAACGTGATGTGTGGGGGTCCTGGGGGAGGGGGTGAATGCTGGATCCTGGGGGTGTCACGTCCATGTCCCCTGGCAGGGCGGAGGGGCGGTGGCAGTGCTGGGGGCCGAACAGCAGCCCCGTCCCCGCCGTGCTCAGCAGTGCTGGGGAAGGGCTGCGGGGCTCTGAGTCCTTCCACGGCCACCCACAGGGATGGGGAGTTATTCCATGTCCTCGGGAGGGAGGGGAGCACCGGGGCACAGTCTGTCCCGCTCCCTGTGTGGCACCTCCATCCCTCTGCCCGAGGGAGACTCCGGCTCTGCTTTGCGGTGGCTCTGGGATCAGCCCGGCTTTGCTGCCCTGGAGCTTTCTCTCCAGAGGGAGGTTTCACTCCCGGCCTGTCCTGCTGCCCCCTCTCTGTGGGACCTTCCTGTTCCTCCTCCTAATCGCTGCCGTCCTGCGGTGGGGCTGAGCTGGGCCTGCAGAGGAGGGAGGGGAAAGGGAAGGGTTACTCTCGGGCCAGGCTTGGCTGCATTCAGGATGCAGCTGGAAGAGGAAAAGCAGACATTACCGTCGGTCATCTTTATTTACATGGTGTAAAAGCAGAGTGGGGCTGTGGGGCTGAGCTTTGTCTGGGTGCTGCAGGGGCCTCTCGCCCCATCTCAAGTCCCCTAAAAAGAACTCCCTGCCCTTCAAACCCCCACTGCCAGCAGGAAGCAGGAAAGGAAGAGATGAAGGGCCCCAGAGGTTGGGCAGCCCCAGGACATCCTCCCTCCCTTTTTCCTTCCATCCCTCCCCTCCACTCCTGCTCCAAGCTGGAGGAGTGGGTGCCCTGCCCTGCCCCGCCCTGGGATGCTTTGGGGGGTCCCTGCCCCCGCCTCACCTCTCCTCCCGGGGCTCCTCGGGGGCCAGCAGGGTGGGCAGTGCCCGGCCACCCTTGGCTGTGCCCAGCACGGCCACCAGCTCGCTCTTCCTCAGCAGGGCCGCGCACAGCTGCTCCCGCATCTCCTGGATCTTCTCCTCCAGCTCCCGGAGCTCGCTCTCGCTGGCTGCCCTGTCCGGGGGCTGCGGTGCCTGCCCGTTCCCGGGGTGCCGTGGGGACCCCTCGCCCTCGGGGGGGGCTTTGTCCAGCTGGAATCGCACCCGCCGGGCCTCCTTCCGCAGGGCACTCCAGGGCTGTGCTGCTGCCGGTGCCGGCCTGGGCTGGGGCTCACCCCTGTGTGGGGAGGCAGAGAGGGCTGAGCTGAGATCTGGTCCCTCTGTGGCCCCCCGGGATGGTGGGTGTCCATAGGGAGGAGGAGAAGAGTGGGCAGGCTCTCAGCCCTGGCTGTACCTCTGCTCCAAATTCAGCTGCTGGCTCTTCCGCTCCTCCGTGCCCATGTTCAGAGCCCGATGGATTTTCTGTGGGGAGCAAGGGAAGCGTGAGATGTGGGGTGATGGTTTTGGGATTAACTGAGGGTGATGGTCCAGGGGTTATCTGGGAGTTGATGGTCTGGGGCTGGAGGAGGGCAGAGGTGTGTAAGCTAAGAGGGAGCAGCGACATGGGGCCAGGGGTCTTTGGGGCGCCGGGTGAGCCCCTTCCCGCTGGCCCCACCTGGCTCGTGTGCAGCCAGTAGTTGAATTTCTTCTTGCGCCGGATGCGGGGCAGGACCAGGCGGTAGAAGACGTGCTCGCCCAGCGAGGTGAGCAGGGAGCCACTGAGCCCGATGCACAGCAGCACGAACAGCCCCGAGAAGTGGTAGATGCCCATCTGCAGGGTCTGCAGGGAGCAGGGGGTGTGGGCTGGGCTGGGGGGGTGTCAGACCCCAGAGCCCCCCCCGCCAAGGGCTGGCCGCCAAACCTCGGTGACGGCGAAGACGCGCTTCCCACAGGGCACCATCTTGTACCACTTGTCGTGCAGGAGGTCGATGAACCCCGAGGACTTGTAGCGGCTGATGAACTCGGAGACGTTGGAGGTCAGCGGCGAGTTCTGGGGGAGGCCGATGCCGTAGCCTGGCCCCAGTGAGGGGGGAGAGAGTGGCAGTGCTGGGACAGGGGGTGCAGCCCCCAGTGCCCTCCACGGAGGGGGCACCTCCCTACCCTGCCCAGTCATGGCAAGGCGTGACCACAGCCAGAGCACACGTGTGTACACACATGCACACACATGCACACACACAGGACCCCTCCCCACCACAGCCCCCCCAAACCTTCGATGGCAAAGGGTTTGCCCACGGTGAGCAGTTTGCAGTCGGAGTCGATGGAGACCTCGTAGTCCAGCAGGGATTTGTCCATGATGAAGGCGTTGAGTTTTGGGGGCTCTGTCCTGCACCAACATGGAGGGAAGCTCAGGGAGGGGCTGCTCCCCCTTTCTCAGCATCCCCCCAACCTGACACCCCTCCCAGGGGTGGGAGTGCTCGTGTGTGTGTGTGGGGGTGTGTGCACAGGCTGCAGGGAGGGCGCAAAAGCTGCCCTGGGAGGAGTAAAAGGTGGGAGGGAGCCCCCCATGCCCTTCCTGCTCCTCACTTGAGCATGGTGACACCGTCGGGGGTGGTGGGGACGTTGTAGCGCCGCATGTACTCGTGCATCTCAGGGAAGCTCTTCTTGATGTACTCCTCGGCACTGCTCTCCCACACCGTGCCGAAGCGGAAGCCCTGCGAGGGGTGATGCAGCTGGAAGGAGGCACCAGAGCATCAGCACCCCTGGCCCGGGGATGTGTCCCCAGCCCTGAGCCCCAGGTAGGGGGCTCTGGGCAGCCTGTGGAGGTACAGCAGCTTTTTGGGGGTGTCTGGCAAAGAGCACCCCCCCAGAGACAGCCTCAGGACAAACCCAGCCTAGTCCCCCTTGCCCTGGAGCTGAGACCAGGATTAAACATCAGGGTAGGGGGGGCCACAAAGCTTTCTGGGGGTCACAATGACACCCCCCCATCAGGCTTGGAAGGGGCCACACTGCAGGACTGAGGCTAGAGAGAACTTTCACATTCGTTCCAGCAGGGAAGGTGCAGAAGGAAGGACAGGATTTTCCTCCCTACCTTCCCTGGACCTCAGCCCTGTCTCAGCCCATCTGAAGCAGCCGGACACTCACCCACCTTTGGGTCGTGGATGCCCGAGAGCTCCTCGAAGGTCTTGTCCCCCACCATGACGGCCGCCAGGTTGGCCGTGTAGCTGGAGAGCACCAGGAGGCAGAAGATGGCCCAGAGGTTCATGAGGAAGCGGCCGGTGCAGCACTTGGGTGTCTTGCTGGAGACAGTGCGCCCAAAGAGGATGGCGTAGCACAGGTTGAGGGCTGAGGAGTAGGAGAAGATCTTCATGCGATTGCGGCCGTGGGGGGTCATGCCATAGGGGCTCTTCCACTCGTAGAGGGTGAGGAAAAGTGCCGTCATGTGCAGTGCCACGAAGACGCCCACCCACATGGTCCAGTGCAGGGGCCACATGAAGGCTCCGATGGGCGACGCCGTGTCCTTGGTCCTCACCAGGATGCCCAGGCTGGTGGAAAAGAAGGGGCTGGTGAAGTCGATGACTTTGCTCCGCGCCGAGTTGATGCTGAAGGAGGTGACGGCCATGTGGGCTGTGCCACTGAGCAGGTCCCCCACCAGTCCCGTCCAGCGCCCGTTCTTCCAGGCCCCGTATTTCCCATCGCCCACGATGTAGAGCTCGAAGTCAAAGGCCATGTCCTCGGCCAGCTTCTCCAGCAGGTCGATGCAGTACCCGTAGCAGCACTTCTTGTACGCCCGCGGCACCGAGCCATTGCCGGCGCCGAGCTCCTCGAAGAGGGTGTCCAGCACGGCCGAGTCGTTGGTGCCGGGGTCCAGGCAGAGCTGCCCGGCCGGGCAGTTCCCTTCCTCATCCACCTCCCTGGTGAAGACGAAGGGGTGCTCCACCAGCGTCACCACGCGCAGCCGCGCGCGGGCCCCCCCGGCTGCTTCGCTGGGGCTCTTGTGCTGCCGCTGGCTCTGCCACATGCCCTCCTCCAGCTCCAGCTTGCCATGGCTCCAGGTGCCCACCGTCACCCAGGTGGGGTCCCCCCGAGAGTCCCGACGCAGGCTCCAGACATGGAACTGCTGCTCCGGCCGCACCAGCGCCGCCTTCTCCACACGCACCAGCCCCGTCTGACCACGGAAGGACGTGTTGGCCAGGAACCTGCCAAGGGGAGGGTGTCACAGCTCCAGCATCCCAGGTCTGGATCCAGCTGGGATCCAGTTCCATCCCAGTTCCAGCTGGGACTAAGGAACAGGGACGGGGACTGGGAGCAGGATGTGCCCAACTCGGACAGGGACAAGGTCAGGGAGGAACAGCAGGATCCGGCCCCGCTGTGCTGCCCCGCAGCTCGCTGTGCTGCCAGGGCCAAGTGTTATTAATATTTATAGAGCCACGGTGCTCGGGCAGCATTAGGGAGATCTGAAGTGACACGTCCCCCCCTGTGCAACACAAACTGTGTCCCGGGGTGGGCTGAGCCCCACGGCGGCCGCTGCACACGCTGGGGACAGCACCGGGCAGTGCCCTGCACTGAGCACAGTGGTCACCCAGCTCCGCCCTCACCCCCTCCCAGGGGTGGGGCACAGCCCCCCCCATGCACCCCAATACCAAAAAGCCGGGACAGGGGGAAGGAGGCACCCCCAGTAGCCCCCTTACCTGGCAAGGAACAGCCCCGGGGACTCGCCACCCGCCCGGTGCCTCTCGCTGCAGTTGCTCGTGGTCTGCAGCAGGGCGGGGTCGGGGTGGCCGCGGGCGGCGCGGGCGATGGCCCGGGACACCAATCCCACCGCGTCCTGAACAAAGAGCTCCAGCGGCGGCCGGTTGACCTCACCGAAGGCCAGCAGCCCCGGGGGCAGCCCCTCGGTCTGCAGCTCGTTGGCGCCGAGCGGGGAGCCCAGCATCCAGTGGAATTCCTGTGGTGGCAGCCCCGACTCCTCGGCTGCCTGGAAGACGAGCCGAGCACGGGGCAAGTCGCAGCCCAGCACCAGCACCGGGCTGGAGAGGGTCCTGACATGCTCCCTGTG